GGGACAGAAAGCTGGGGTTTTATTTGAGGGGTTGACTTTATGGAAATGAAGGCTGAGTAAAAGCATTTACATATCACATGTGCAAGGGCGACCGGTGAGAGCAGGAAGGCTGCTGTTGAAATGCTTAGTAGAACACAGACAGGGCACATTATTAGCTGGAAATACTGAATGCCTTTAATCTGAAAGTATTCTGTAGTGCCAATAAAAGGCCTACTAACGGAATTGGACTGCAGCGTTGGCAATTTAAAAGGTCTAAGTCAAAGCAGGAAAAAAAACAACCATTCCCCTTGTTGTCACCTAAACACAAACCGTGACAAAATTCCGACATGGAAAGACAGATAGACCGGTGCGCCACACTTCACTGCACTGACGAATGCCTGAGTTTCCACATCCTCCGGGGATATTGAGCTGGTTTTCCAGTGACATGCTCGATACGCATGTTGGGTTGGAGGGGGAGGGGGTGAAATCAAGAGTGTGTGACAGAATTTAGTGAAGCTTCAAACACGCACTGTCCAGAGGCTGTCACGGGAAAACATTAGGCTGAAGCTCAGGTCAGCAGCAATTATCATAAATCAATAGAGTGCTCGAGTGAGCAGCTCACTGCTCGGTAAAGATCAACGGCACAATCCAGACACCGATTCCTCATTCTTTCAATCCACGGCACGCTGTCATTTTAAATTTTACCTCTGGCTAATGTACACTAATGATGTGAAACAAATGTTTTCAAACTCAGTTTAAACATTACAATCTCACTGAGAGAGACAGGACTGAAGAGTAAATTGAATAGCTCTGCAAAGCTGATCCATCATTCAGATGGACTCAAAGGAACACACATTAGTCAAACATGTTTGAAGGACACGCAATAAAACCAGCTAATTGATTCATCTACTGAAACCACAAGGTAATAAAAAGGCCTCAAAGCTAATCTACAGAGCATTAATGCAGATCTCATACAAATGAAAATGTTTATCAAATTTCTACAACTGACAATGGAGCCAAAAAAACAACAACAAAAAAAGAAATACCAAAATATATTCACACTTTCTGACTCTCCTGATTTTCTGAACTATCCAAAACTTTTACATATACTTCAAAAATAGTTTTTCTTTCACTACATGTTTTATTGTTAGTATTGGAAGTATAGAGGAAAACCTTTCATGGAGTGTGAACACCTCCGAGCTGCTGAAAAAGGCCCAACAGAGACTGTACTTCCTGAGAATTCTCAGGAGGAATAACATCACACAGAGACTGCTGGTGTCCTTCTACAGAGCCACCATTGAGAGTGTTCTAACCTACTGCATATGTATTTGGTACACTAGCTGCACAGAGGCCCAAAACATCATAAAAGACACCTCACATCCTGGCCACTCCCTGTTTGAACTGTTGCCCTCAGGCAGGCGGTACAGGGCAATCAGCGCAAGGACTAATAGACTCAAACACAGTTGTTATCCAACTGCAATAACACATCTGAATGCTACAAAAAAATGTCCATCATGCCACTCTTGTGTTAATCTATGCACGGTCTGAAGCATGTATGTGAATGTTTTACTGTTACGTCTTATTAGTATTTTAAGTATTCTATCTATTTTATTTATTGAATTTTATTGTTTTATTTATATTTTGATATTGCTAGGGATGATGCAATGATCGGGGAACATTCTTAATTTCGTTGTACCTGTGACAATGACAATAAAGTTTCTGATTCTGATTCTGGAAGGTTTGACATCTTTTGTCTTATCCAGTATGCAACATTTAGCTTATTCATGTCATGGCCCTGGGTCATGTGACCCAGTATTCTGAGTTTCTTGGTGTTTTGTTATTCTTTTTAGTCTAGTTTCATTTC